CAATTTACCGTGAGATGATGAATGGATATTCGGTAACTTGATTGTACCCGATGTTAGAAACAGCCGCAGCCGGCTGAACGGCGTAAAACACATTCGTGTGGTGCGGTATTAAAGAATCGATCGTAATTCGAGTCGGGTATGTGCATATGCAGGCATCAATTACGCACTCACGCAAACTATACATTTAAAAATATTATGCATATGACCTGGTGCATGTCAAATAATGAATATCCAATGTTATTATAATAGGTATGATATGCAAATGAAATATCGTGTCGTGACATGAGTGCAGGCTTTATGATATTACTTTTTGTATCTGATGTTCAATAACCACTTTAGTATTATAACACGTCCCTTGACAATAGCGGCCCGACGATTATCGTGAGCATTTGTGAATGATATTATTTAGCATGTCGGCTCTTTATGCAATGTCGATGTGAACGAGCTGCCGTATATATCGTCATTAACCAAAAGACGCCAAATTCAGCTGAGTGGTTTGGAATTGTACTTTTTTTGCGCAACTTCCAACAATTCTTGATGGTGAAAAATCACGTCTTGCTCAGACAAACCTATGAGAGCATATTCATCGATGCACGCTGTCAGGGCCTGTTTAACCTGGCATCCTAACTTGGGGTTATTTGTGTGTTGTTTAACTGCACACACAACATTTTCACAGCTATACGATAGTGGTGTGTAAATAACTGCGTCTGTGCCTTATTAAAACTGATTCCGAGCAACTTTATGGTTGGTTTATTGGTTTATTGGTTTATTACCGAAACTTCAGCCAGAGATCTCAGGGGCATATACATACCTGTCAGGAGCACATACCTGGTTCATTATGGAACTAAACGACTGCAAAAAGCACCGTTAGACATTAACTGAGAGCTTGGACTGTACACCTCTATCTCAGTTAACCATATTTCATTTAAGAAGCTGATGTTTTTTCTTGAAGCACTATAAACCGCCTGAGTCCCTGCATGTAATCTGACCCGCCTGCATTACGGATACAGTGATCTTACACACACAACAGTGGCCCCCCTTCCATGTTCCAGTTGAACGTGGAGGTATGGGTGTAAATGGTGAAATACAGCCCTCCCTTGACACTATATATGTGCCTGCATGTCTCACAGTGATATGTCCTCGGCAGCATAGCACATCGTGATAAAATGACTGTGGTAGATTCACCAAGACAGAAGGTATGTGTCATTATGACCCATCGTGGCATTGGATCTGTGACACCATACCTGTGCCTGCATTGTCCATTGTGACACTAGGCCTGTGCCTGCATCACCCATTGTGAAACAAGACCTATGCCTACATGTACCCATTGTGAAACAAGACCTATGCCTGCATGACACATTGTGGCACTAGACCTGTGCCTGCATGACCCATTGTGAGACTAGACCTGCGCCTGCTTGTCCCTTTGTGACTCTAGACCTGTGCCTACACGGCACATTGTGAAACTGGACCTGTGCCTGCATGGTCCATTGTGAAAATGGACCTGTACCCGCATAGCCTTCTGTGGCAATAGCCCTGTGCCTGCATGCCCCATCGTGACACTACACCTATGCCTGGGTCCCACATTGTAAAACTATACCTGTGCCTGCATGACCCATTGTGACACTAGACCTGCGCCTGCTTGTTCCACTGTGACACTAGACCTGTGTCTGTATTGTGACACTAGACCTATGCCTGCGTGTCACATTGTAAAACTAGACCTGTGCCTGCGTGCCACATTGTAAAACTAGACTTGTGCCTGCGTGGCCCATTGTGACACTAAACCTGTGCCTGCATGGCTTATTGTGAAACTAGACCTGTGCATGTATTGCGATGCGAGACCTGTGCCTGCATCACTCATTGTGACTCTAGACTTGTGCCTGCATGGTCCATTGTGACACTAGACCAATGCCTGCATGGCCCATTGTGACACTAGATCTGTGCCTGCATGGCCCATTGTGACACTAGACATGTGCCTGCATGGCCCATTGTGAATCCAGATCAGTGCCTGTATTGCGATACTAGACCTGTGCCTGCATGACCCAGTGTGACTCTACACCTGTGCCTGGGTGCTACATTGTAAACTACACCTGTGCCTGCATGACCCATTGTGACACTAGACCTGTGCCCGTATGGCCCATTGTGACACTAGACCTGTGCCTGCGAAACCCATTGTTACACTAGACCTGTGCCTGCGTGGCCCACTGTGACGCTTGACCTATGTCAGGGTGCCACATTGTAAAACTACACCTATGCCTGCGTGGTCCATTGTGACATTAGACCTGCGCCTGCATGGCACATTGTGACACTAGACCTGTGCCTGCGTGGTCCATTGTGACACTAGACCTGTGCCTGCATGGCCCATTGTTACACTAGACCCGTGCCTGCATGGCTCATTGTGACACGAGACCTATGCCTGGGTGCTACATTGTAAAACTACACCTGTACCTGCATGGTACATTGTGACACTAGACCTATTCCTGTATGGCCCATTGTGACGCTAGACCTGTGCCTGCGAAAACCCATTGTTACACTAGGCCCGTGCCTGCATGGCTCATTGTGACACTAGACCTGTGCCTGCGTGGCCCATTGTGACACTAGACCTATGCCTGCGTGCCACATTGTAAAACTACACCTATGCCTGCGTGGTCCATTGTGACATTTGACCTGCGCCTGCATGGCACATTGTGACACTAGACCTGTGCCTGCATGGCACATTGTGACACTAGGCCTGTGCCTACATGGTCCATTGTGAAAATAGACCTGCGCCTGCATGGCACATTGTGACACTAGACCTGTGCCTACGAGGTCCATTGTGACATTGGACCTGTGCCTACATGGGCCACTTTGACACTAGGCCTGTGCCTGCATGGTCCATTGTGAAAATAGACCTGCGCCTGCATAGCACATTGTGACACTAGATCTGTGCCTGCGTGGTCCATTGTGACACTAGATCTAGACATGTGCCTGCATGGGCCACATTGACACTAGGCCTGTGCCTGCATGGTCCATTGTGAAAATAGACCTGTACCTGCATAGCCTTCTGTGGCACTAGACCTGTCTCTGCATGACCCATTGTGACAGTAGACATGTGCTTGCATGACACATTGTGACATTAGACCTATGCCTTCATGACCAATTGTGAAACTAGATCTATGCCTGCATGACCCATTATGACACTAGACCTGTGCCTGCTTGTCCCATTGTGACAGTAGACCTGTGCCTGCATGACCCATTATGACACTAGACCTGTGCCTGCTTGTCCCATCGTGACAGCAGACCTGTGCCTGCATGACGCATTGTAAAACTAGACTTGTGCCTGCATGACCCACTGTGACACTAGACCTGTGCCTGCTTGTCCCATTGTGACAGTAGACCTGTGCTTGCATGACACATTGTGACACTAGACCTATGCCTTCATGACCCATCGTGACACTAGACCTATGCCTGGGTGCTACATTGGAAAACTACACCTGTGCCTGCATGACCCATTGTGACACTAGACCTGTGCCTGCTTCTCCCATTGTGACAGTAGACCTGTGCCTTCTTGTCCCATTGTGACACTAGACCTGTCCCTGCATGGCCCATTGTGACAATAGATCTGTGCCTGTTTTGCGACACTAGACCTGTGTCTGTATTGCGACACTAGACCTGTGTCTGTATTGTGACAATAGACCTATGCCTGCGTGGCCTGTTGTGACACTAGACCTATGTCTGTATTGTGACACTAGACCTGTGTCTGTATTGTGACAATAGACCTATGCCTGCGTGGCCTATTGTGACACTAGACCTGTGTCTGTATTGCGACACTAGACCTGTGTCTGTATTGTGACAATAGAACTATGCCTGCGTGGCCTATTGTGACACTAGACCTATGTCTGCGTGGCTTATTGTGCCACTAGACCTATGCCAGCGTGGCCTGTTGTGACACTAGACCTATGCCTGTGTGGCCTATTGCGAAACTAGACCTATGCCTGCATAGCCTATTGTGACACTAGACCTATGCCTGCGTGGCCTATTGCGGCACTAGGCCTGTCTCTGCATGGCACATTGTGACACTAGGCCTGTCTCTGCATGGCCTATTGTTACACTAGACCTGTCTCTGCACGGCCTATTGTGACTATAGACCCGTGCCTGCATAGCCTGTTGTGACTATAGATCTGTGACTACATGACACTTTCTGACACGAGTCCTGTGTCTGCATGGCCCATTGTGTCACTAAACCTGTCCCTGCATGGTCCATTGTGACACCAGACATGTGCCTGCATGACACATTGTGACACCAGACCTCTGGCTCCATGACTCACCGTACCTATGCCTGCCTGTGGCTATCAATATTGACATAATTGTAGGTCGAATGTGCAACCAAATAGGGAGCATAGAATGCCACCAAATATACTCCGATCTAGACACGAAACAATATTTGTACACGCCGCTGTTTTGTGTTAATCAATATGTTTCCTAAATTCTCATAGACTCGTGGCGTGAATTTCACGGCATGATCTGTTAACAATAAAACGGCGGCGTTAAAAGTCATTGCTGTAGAGATCAGTGATCTTCATTGTTTAATTCATTTACTTAAGGGATTGCCACTTAATGTCACTTTCATCAATACCGTTGTCAACATCTGTATCGCCACCATCATCCCCGAGCATCCTACACAAGCCATATTCAGAATATATTAAACTGTGGCTTGCATTGCGCAATATGTCTACAGTGAGAAGATCTCAACCAAACCATCTTCGTCAGTAATACAAACAAATCTAAGTTTGATCACCTAACCCAACGACATCCATGCAATTACCTCAAGTAGATTCGTTAATGCTACTCTGATTCAAATATACTTTCTCTATAGGATGTAATGAGATTGCATACAACAGTGGTTTCAGTTGATATGATAACATGAATAAAACATGTACGGCATTATCTATCAATTTCTGAATATTAACAACTGGTTTGTGGGAGCAAGGGTATAATGGTATTTGAAACCGATAAGGACTCACCTGCTCAACTGTGCCCTCATCGTCCTCCATCTCCGTGAACTGAATTCTCTTCTGTATCACCGGAGTTCGCGGCTTCTGAAAGCGTTTGCTTGAATCCACGATAAGGGTATTGGAGGCTGTATATGGAAGCGAAGCCTCCTCGTCTTGGTCACAATGCGACTTCGCCAGCGATGGATAGTAAACGTTATGTTCTGGTATTTCCATAGTGATCGCTGGGGAATACGTGCTGGTTTCGACTCTTCCCAGTCTCTATATCAGATCCCGCTACACTGGACACGGATTGAATATCCTGTTCGGGCTGTGGCTGTTATTGCCCTTTTCTGGCAATTATCTTGCATGATGAAGACAGTTATTTACTACCAGATTCATATGAACGTATTATCATGTTAGTTCTTGTGTCGAAATGAGCACGGAGTCATTGCTTTGTCCGTTTCCTGGCTGATAAAAGAGGCAATGTACTGTTAAGTTGGCGGCTGCTTGTGGAGCATCCAGAACAAGTGGCTGTAATTCTTTGCCTATTCAAGGTTCATGCAACGGTTACTAACAACATACTATATACGTTGTTGTTAATTCAGTACAGTAATTCCTCTGTAGCATAATACCCTCGGTTGCCACAAAATATTTAATCTGATTTACTGTATCTGATCAGAATAAAATGTATTATTTATTGTAAAACGAACCTCGCACCGATAGAATCCATTGAATAAGGTATCCTTGGAGCTATTGGTCCATTGTCTACATTCTTCTTATCATTTTGGTTTTTCTTCTTCTTTTTGAGAATCTTCATGGTCAACACTTTGGTCATCAATAGCGATAGTTTAGACTCCAAAGCAAAATTATTGTCTCACTTCTTTGTTTGAATCTTGCAAATTCAACGTTACTGTACATCTCAAAGAACAACACATGACTGAAAGGACCTGTACAGATTGTTCACAGAATTAAATCCAACCTTCTTCTTCACGATATCTTCGTCTTGAAGGCACAATTGTTCTCTCCAAATCCGGTGCAAACATATCTTATCATTGTGATTTCAAAGCATCGCTTTACAGAGATGATCCATCACAGTTCCTGCTTTTGTTATGCATCACATGGACCCTACAATACATCAAGGCTTCCCGTGAGGTTATTCAAAATGTACATCTATTATCTGTTGCAACAGCTGATAGAAACGTATCAATGGTAGCGATGAGTAGCGGCATCTCTTTCATGCATCTGCAGAAAGAATGACTTCATGGATGGTTTGCGATCTGGAGGTTCATTCCTGTTGATTAAAGAAAGATTTACAGTTGAACATTTCATGACTTTTTCACACTATACAATGCTAATTTAAACAATACTGAAGAAGAGACGATGTCACGTTTTTGAAAGGGTTATCTGCATTGTGTTCCCGAGTTATATGGGAAATTTAGGTCTTCCTGGTTAATCTGGGGTTTCAAATCTCAGAAACACCTTTGGGACGGTGGGGTAGCCTAGTGGTTAAAGCGTTCGCTCGTCACGCCGAAGACCGGGTTGGATTCTCTCTATGGGTACAAAGTATGAAACCGATGTCTGGTGTCCCCCACTGTGATATTGCTGGAATATTGCTAAAAGCGGCGTAAAACTAAACACACCGACTCACTCAAAACCACTCCTACCTGACGACTGCATCGCTGAAGAAGCTATCATTTATACTAACGTTCTTTTTCATTCATTGTAGGGCCGGTGGGGTAGCCCAGTGGTTAAGCATTTGCTTGTTATGGAGAATACCAGGGTTTGATTCTCCACGTACTCACAATGTGTGAAGACCATTTTTGGTGTCACCCGGCGTGATATCGCTTGAATACTGATAAAAGCAGCGTATAAACTTCGTCATTCACTCACTCCTCTGTAGTTAGTGATTTGACAATAATAAAATGTACAACTCCAAATTGCAAAATATTTCACAGTAAAATGACAAGTCACTTTACGGCAATATCGAAAGCATGTGTGGCAATACAATCTGGGTGAAACTATTTCTACCTGCATGGTAACATAATATAAAAGTAAGAATTGCTAAGCTGAACCTTTAAGTCGTTGGGGGTAGGTAGGTTAGATTCTCTTTATGAGCACAATGCCTGACACACGTTTCTGGCTGATTATGTTGTATGCTTCAGTTTATTTAAACCTTACATGCAAAACCGAATCCCAATTGGACAGATCGATGCTCATGCTGTTGATCACTGGATTGTCTGGTCCAGACTCGATTATTTACAGACCACTACCATATAGCTGGAATATTGCTGAGTGTGGCGTAAAACTATACTCACTCACGTTTCTGGTGTTCGTGCGTAAAACTTTCACTGCAGTTTCATTTTTAAGGTTATTGTAAATTTACCATCTGTTGTACGATTATAAACTGACACTTGACACTTCAGCGGATCCACACCGATGTTGCATTGCATGCCCTCCAAGTACACAATTATCATATGCACCTGATCGTGATGATTATCATACCGCTATTGTCAAGAGACGTGTCATTATGCAATAGTGGTTCATTTCCCAGACTGAATAGCAGACACTTAACGTGTTATCGTTGAACATGCCGAATGTCACGAATCAAATGAAAACCTTTAGACTGCATATGCATTCGATTAAATATAGCTGAGCGCATCCTATATATATAAATTCAGAAAACCAATTTGTACAGAAACTCGGCGATCAGTCTCGGTCAACAACACCAACAAATTTCAACATGAAGACACAGGTGTATGAAAAATGTAAGCCATTTACTTCAAAAACGTACATTTGAAGCAGCTTGTTCCTTTGTTTTTTCTAAATACAATAAGAAATGTTTGTAGTGACCATTATTTCATAGGCCAACCCCTCATCTGCTGCCTCAATGAATTTTTAATGCTTGTACTCAGGTTTCAAAGCACTTGAAGTAAATAGTCAGTGTTGCGCTATAAATAATCGGTATTTTGATAATACATGCATACTTCATCTGCTATGCACAAACTCCCCTTCGTGGTATATTTCTGGAAACATTTTCAAGGAGTAGTTACTTGATATGGTTTATTACGGAGTGCAACCTGTCCATGATTGTTTCAGTAATCAAGTAAACTCTCCCGTCGGTACGTTTTATATATTTGCTGTAAACCTACAATTCAAGTTTGAATAGTAAGGAAAACGTCACGTTTTCATCTGTATATATCATTCTATTTTTAAGGTTCGGACATAAAAGTTATCAATTTATTATACATTAATTCTCACACAATAAACTGTTTTGTGTGTGTTGTTTTGTGACGTTTATAACATCTGACACAAAATGTGATATATATTTAAAAAGTATCACTTAAGAATTGTAAAGTGATACTTACTTTTATATATACTGTCATAACATCGCCTTTTGAACTTCCTAAGTTCCAGTTCCATTTTATATCCTTATCGATCTTACTTAATATGTATTGTACGTGTATATATAAGAATGCAGTCTTATATCACTTTTCTTTTGTTTGTGTGGCCATTGTTTATATTTATAGCTTTGTTGTTGTTGTTTTATTAATATATACATAGCCACCGATCAGCGTTACATAAGCATAAAAGCATGTTCTCCCAATCTTAATGCCATTGTCACTACACGAAGATCACTATACAATGATGCTGAACAGCCACATTTACACGAATGTGTCCTTTTAACATTTGCGTAAACACATTCTGCAACAAATATGTACCACCTGTTTTCCAAATTATCTCCTAGTTGGTTTATACTAAAATATATAATGCATATATTATGTTTTACATCTGCCACACTTTCACACGAAACAACAGAATTGATGTGTGAAACGTGATATTGGTGAAACAGATCAGATATCCATATGGGTCTGCGGACATGCATAATATATTTTGCACTATTGTCATCCTCTTTTATTGCAACATTTTTCAAAACTAATTCTTATAATATGTAACGTATGAATTTAAGTAGAAAGGCATATCTGATTACCCGGTTAATAGAATACTTTGCCAAAAAGACCTGTTTCATCGTACCCGTTCTTTTCAAATATCTGCATTTAGGAAGGCGTTTCCTATTCTCGCGGTACTTACGGATATCGGCTGAAAAAATAACACAAACAATTCTTATCGTATTAATGCTTGCTGTTTTTAAATGAAAGGCCTTCTCCTCTAACATCTACATCTATCAGCTGCCAGATCCATCAGGAGAATTACCACTCGTGAGCCCGGTGATAAACAATGCCATCCGCCATTGACGAAACGAGGCTTCTCCCATTCTCGCGGTATTACCAGGAATTAACGTTATTGAGTGTATGTAAGAGCAACCCTGCCGGAAAGGGCGGGAAAAAGTAATGATATGTCCAAGTTGGTATAAACTCCCCAATATTCGTGACACTGCAAGAATTTGATCACTCACAGACTTGGTCCACTTCCTAGTTACCAGTCGGTGATGTAAACAACCGCTTAGTGTCGCGCATCGGCGATTTCGGCAGAAAAAGTGTTTACCGCGAGAATAGGAAACCCGCGAGAATAGGAGACGGTCCTATACATGTATGAACTGTTGCAAATATTCTGCACATCGTTTTCGCGTTAAGTTAAACAGGTGACAGAGAACGACACAGTTTGAACAAGAGTTATCCCAAAACTCGTTACCTTGAAAGCTATTATAGGAATGGAATGACAAAGTTTATGGTTCTGTTTGGAAGGAATGCTGTTTCTTCTTCTGATGATGAAAAGTGTTGATATGTCGTTAATCAATTATATTCAGCGTTACGCAGGTTAGTAGAAACATGTTCTAACCCGAGGACATTTATTGACACCTAAGGAGGATATTTTCTTGGGCAACTGAAAACACTTCTGTTCACATTAGCCATTTTCCCCATCTCGAGAGAGTTATTTTTGTGGGTGTAACCCAATTCTGAATTTTATTGGTTTTAGACGTGTTAACGTAATTCGCAAACCAAAACAGACTGGGACCTGGTCCACAAAGGAAACTACGAGAACAACCATGCATCTTGGCTCTGTGGAACTGGGAACTAATGTGATGCGAGTAGTAAATATTTATCATATTTGTGAAACCCACGGTGCGTGAATGAAGTTGACAGACCACACTGGTGACACCCAAATTGAATGAATGAAGTTGACAGACCACACTGGTGAAACGCAGGGTGCTTGTATTAAGATGACAGACCACACTGGTGAAACCCAGGGTTCGTGTATTAAGTTCACAGATCACGCTGGTGAAACCCCGCGTCCCAAGAGTCACGATCAGGGACAATCTGGAACGTCATTTTCAATTTGAGTTTTACCACATCTCATCCATTGCGAATATCCATAATTCAGATCACGCCGTATACACAAAGTAAGGACATACGCATGACCTTATTGTTTCATTGACTTACAAGCTTCAAGGATGACGAAAATGTACCAGTGCAAGCACTTAGAAATTTTTATCCCATTTCATAATTCTTTTTGTAACATTGTTGTTTTAAACAAAACCCCAAATACTTTATCCCAATAGCATACATGTTGCATTGCTACTATAATTAATATCTCATTAGCGTCTGAGTGGGGTATCCATTTTTTACATGTTGTATCTCAGTGCGCTGGGACTCAAGAAGAGCAGACACAGTCTCTTTCATATGTGAAACATATTTGAACGTGGTATAACACCACACCTCACTTCACCTTCCTCAGGCCACCACTCCTCACCTTGCTAAAGCAAGATGTCACCCCCTCATGAAAACTCCACATAAATGATATTTCGATTTAGAGAAACAACTATGTGTTTTGTGCATAAACTGACAAAAAAACGGCAACGGGTTGAAATGTCCTTCGTCTTTATCATTTATTGACGATCTGGATGGACACAAATTTGTTTGCATTAATTATAGATTCCTGCTGCCGATGACACAATGGGAGATCCTTTACATCAGCTTATTCACTCACTTCTTTTAGCATCTGTTTCATCCCGAATCAAATAAATAAACATTCCGCTTAGTATGATATTATTTTGTGCGCATACATTCAGCTTCTTATCAACAGTATAGTGTAAATATCAAACATGTCAATGCTAACACGTACACATATTGTTGTTGTTATTGCAGTCACAACTAAAGCATCACTCACCCCAGGAAGTTCCCAAAGTAAAGTCACAGTAGAATATCTATAAACATTCGCTCTGCCATCCAACACACCAGCGTGAAGCCGTCCTCCCATGAAAGAAATCCGCGACTAATTTTACCAGTGATGTATTTGCATAGCATATTGGTCTTGTGTCGTTGTTATTGCGAATACTAATCTTGCACTCACTCAAAGGATTCCCATAGTAAATTCACAGTAGAAGGTATCTGAACCTTCGTTCTGCTATCGAGCACATCCGTGTGAAACGCAAAACCGTCCTCCAAAATAAGAAATCCGTGACTAATTGTCCCAAGATGTATTTGCATAACATATTGGTCGATCACCAAGGTCATTTTCAAAAATGAATCGAAACATTTCAGGTTGTCCAAACAGCTTTCACGAACACTGTGTCAAAGTTATGTTGTTTCGTCGATATTTTCCATATTATATTTTCAGACTTCCTTACTCAATTATTATATCAAATGTTTCGAATATCTAAACATTGATCTAAACAGTAGCATTGCTGCCATATGGGAAATCGTTTATCAATATGTCGAGATTTCTGAGAAGATGTGAGATCGTATGGTGATAAGAGAATTGATATTCTACGTTGAATATCATTATATGAAATACATGACGTCAAAATGAATAAGCGCTTTCATTGTACCGATGTTAAAAGAGCGACAGAAGGTCATTAATTAAGAAGAGGCAGATCGCGAATTAATCGAATGCCACATTGAATAATATGCCAATGCCATGAGCCACATTTGAATAAGCCAAAAATAGACACATTACAATGAAAGTTCATACGGAATATGAGCGGGAAAGCTTCAACTTTGCTACCAAAGATGTTTTGAATCCTGAAGTGAAGGTTTTAACTAGAGACTCGGGGGCAGGTTCTGTATCTTCTTTGGGCATCCACCATCATGACATCTTCATTAGAAACATATTAACTCAGATTTATAACACCAGGGCTTTAAAAGGTTCAAACATTTCATGTCAAACACATTTAAATATTCATATCATCCTTTGTTTTGTGATGTTTTTAACATCATGGCATTACTTTACTCTAAATGATACATTAAACCTTTGATTTTTGTGCATGAGAACTTCTTCTTTAGAAATCCACGAGAACTATAGCATGAATACCTGAAAGGTAGAAAATTATGTGTCCTCTTTGTGACATGACCTTTCAATAAGTTTAGTCCCCCCATCCCCCGTCATCCGACCTTAAATCCTGACCGTACACGAATCTCGACTTGTAGATAAAAATGTGACGTAGATATTAATTCCAGGACAAAATATGTTTCGTCATCAAATAATTGGAGTATGAATGCGACAACTGCAATGACTTGTCTCCATGAATCGTTACATTGCATACAGTTATGTTGATAGCATAGCATAGTCATTCGAATACTCAGTGTCTCTAAAGTACATTCACAAGGATCTGTGCGGAAAATGCAATGAAAATAGAACGAATCGTTCTTCAAAACGGAACTAACATGTATAGTTTTCCAGACAGCAGCCGCACACAGAAGGCACCATCCAGTTCACACTGTTCCTCAGGGGCTGGATTTCTACAGGGCAGGTGACTATCACTTACCACGGGCGATCGTCAAACCACAACCAGATTTGTCCTAATATAACAATTCCAATCATATCTGAACTAACATATCAACAATGTAACATTTCGATCAATATATTCTACTGTGAGTGCATATGGTTTACCTTAAGATAAAATTACGAGCAGAATCAATACTCACATCAAAAGGTGCAGCATCCCTGTAACCATGATATGGCCCCTGTGACTTCAGGACCCTGATACCTGAACATACAGGTTGCATGTCCTGACTGAATCCATTATCTAACACACCCCATTGTTAGAACAACAATAATTAGCATTGATCATATTATTTGAATTGGTGGTCCTTCATTGCGATGGAGGTTTACTTAATATATTGCTGTTGTACTAGCCAGCGCCGGCGCTGCGGACTGGTTCATTTTTCTAATTGCTCGGAACCTGTGTGCATTCATCGTGCTGTGGCATCAGCCGAATGAGGCGCTGAATCCATATACCGCTTGATTAAACTATTGAGTTTTGCCAGGGTAACCGTGAAGCTAAATTGCATGATGGTGGTAAACATGAGGAGTGCATTGGTCTGAATGGTGGAGAATTATGGTGTGACAATAGTTGTATAACAATATACCAAGTTGTATAGCTTGTGGTATTGTATTCTGAGATAGTATGCGTGATGGTATTATCATCTGGTATTATATTTTGACATTTCTAATACTTTATCAATGTACTACAATAATGGCCTACTTCAATGCATAACCTCCTACTACTCTATCAGCGGAATAACGATGTAGTGACTGACAGTACAATGTCAGTTCATCACAACAAAGTATTACTTGACCGCATAATCTGGTACCAGTTCTGTATCCCATAAATGCATAAACGGACTTCGTTGTACCAGTGATCCAAGCCACTGCGCTAGAGGAATGCATTCAATTATTTAACCAGTGAACTATAAACTTGTGTTGCATATATGCATTAACATACCCAGTCCTATCAGTGCGGACAACAGTATTTTACATCAAGGCATTAATGGATCATGGTTATCAGTTTACCACAATATAGTACTTCACCATTCATTACTGTAGTCTTTCCTGGTGCCGAAACTGTATCCTGACTCAATGCAGCACCTTCCTACGGTTCCACAGAGTTTGCCAAACGAATGCAGTGTTTTCATGTTCGGCGCTAGTGTTTACCATGTGTGACACCACGAAAGCTTTATTAAGATTAAAAGTTTCATATTTCCCTACATCAAATGAACATGGACAATTCTCTTAAAAATTCAGTGCAAGTTCTGTGATGCTAGGCTAAATTAAAATATTATCCTCAAGGATTTTCTTTTCTCGAAATGAAACATTCATATATCTATAAATATATATTTATTTAATATAAGTAGTAATTTGTTCAATCAGTCCTCAGTTAAAATATCATTATGTATTTATAGAGGTCATGCCTTATTTGGGTTTCATTATATAAATATTTCTGTCTCTATGTCACCTTTAAACGTATCTGTAATACCTCCACATCGGTGAGATTACAACATTTTATAAAAACAAACCTTTGAAGTTGTGTTTAAATGAAAACAGGAACTTGACAATAACAACATACCACATGATGTGCGTTGAAAAGAAGTTTGACTTTGTTTGAATTGTCACTGTGCAGAACACCTATATATTGTCACTGTGTAAACCACTATGTATTGTCGGAGCGTACTCCATTAATGTATTTTCACTGTGTACAACACCCATGTATTGTCACTGTGTACAACACCCATGTATTGTCAAAGCGTACTCCACAAATGTATTGTCACTGTGCAGAACACCCATGTATTGTCAGAGCGTACTCCACTAATGTATTGTCACCATGTACAACACCCATGTATTGTCAGAGCGTACTCCACTAATGTATTGTCAATGTGTACGCCACCATGTACTGTTAGAGCGTAGTCAAGTAACGTATTGTCACCGTGTACAACACCCATGTATTGTCACTGTGTACATCACCCATATATTGTCACTGTGTACACCACCCATGTATTGTCACTGTGTACACCATCCATTGTCACTGTGTACACCACCCATATATTGTCACCGTGTACACCACCCATATATTGTCACTGTGTACACCACCCATATATTGTACACCACATGTATTGTCACTGTGTACACCACCCATATATTGTCACCGTGTACACCACCCATATATTGTCACTGTGTACACCACATATTGTATTGTACACCACCCATATATTGTCACATATATTGTCACTGTGTACACCACCCATGTATTGTCACTGTGTACACATCCATATATTGTACCGTGTACACCACACACACCACACCCATATGTCACACGTGTACACCACCCATGTATTGTCACTGTGTACATATATTGTCACACCCACCATATATATATTCACCACTGTGTACACACCCATGTATTGTCACCATATCACGTGTACACCACTCCATATATATTGTGTCACTGTGAACACCACCCATCATTGTCACTGTACCCATGTATTGTCACTGTATACACCACCCACATATTATCACTGTGTACACCACCCATGTATTGTCACTGTGTACGCCACTCACATATTATCACTGTGTACAACACCCATGTATTGTCACTGTGTACAACACCCATGTATTGTCTCTGTGTACACCACCCATGTATTGTCACTGTGTACAACACCCATGTATTGTCACTGTGTACACCACCCACATATTATCACTGTGAACACCACCTGTGTATTGTCACTGTGAACAACACCCATGTATTGTCACTGTGTACGACACCCATGTATTGTCAATGTGTACACCACCCATGTATTGTCACTGTGTACAACACCCATGTATTGTCAGAGCGTACTCCACTGATGTATTGTCACTGTGTATACCATTGTGCTCTTACAGTTTTCAATATGAGAAAGCTCTGTGTTGTCACAGTGTAATGCATGTATAGCATCGATGACAAAATATATATTATACCAAAGTAATGAATCAATGTGGTGAATTCATATACTCTATACACTTAATGCAGCAATGTGTACGCTCTGTCTGGACGTGTTATCCCTGGGTATATTTGCACTGCATCATACCACGGCAACGCATCGATAATGTACATGAGCCAACCTTTCCACCTTCTGGTGTTTGAAGTTCCGCAATCAACGTCAACGGAGCCGCAAAGACTAAAGTGCGTCCATTCTCTCTACCATTTATCCGTCGTAAAACGATCGAGTTACTATTAGTTCACATAAACACGTAACATGCATTAACCTTAACTCTTAACTTAATATAGCTCAATCAAACAGAACTCTAACCATATTGATCGAATCAACGCAAGTACTCCGTGTTCATTTGGTCTAAATGGGTAATTGTTCAATAAAAATATTTTCATATTGTTCGTCAACACAACGTACATACACACGACAGCAGATAGTAGGACATGTTTAGCTCCGAAATGTTTGCCCAAACATTAGTTCATGCCGATGGACTACACCCGTTCGCTTACCTTCACTCGCAAAGAGCACTCACGGTGAACCTACAATTAAACATTAATGAATATCCGATCAATATCCAAAAGAGATTTCCAGATAAAATCCTGTTCAGGACTTCACTAAACCTATATTCCTGATAACAATCCCAGACTGAATTCCAAATGTCGCTAACCCGGTAATATACACTGATATTGAATATCAGCTATGGAGCAGCTAGGAGAGTTGTTGGTTAAAACAGAACTGAATAACAAAGTCCTCTGACTAAGCGTAGAATTTGCCGTTTCGATGATGGTGAGTTATCAGTGTTGATTCAGCGTTGACACACATACATTTGGCTGATATAAAACAAAGAGTCGCTCATGCAATAATTGAGTAATTAATGCCACGAGTCTTCTGGAACAACATGCCACGTAAAGAGAGAGGTGGATGTGAGAGAGGAGGAGAGAGAGAGAGAGAGAGAGAGAGAGAGAGAGAGAGAGAGAGAGAGAGAGAGAGAGAGAGAGAGAGAGAGAGAGAGAGAGAGAGAGAGAGAGAGAGAGAGAGAGAGAGAGAGAGAGAGTATCTACGCCGCTCTTGGGGACACCAGCAATGGGCTTCTCACATTATACCCATGTGGGGTATCGAACCTGGGTCTTCGCTTTAACCACTCGGCTACCCAACCGAACCTGATTCGCCCTGTGAGCTCGTTTGGTAGAGACTGTTCGAACCAATCTCAGTGCTCTAGTAATATTCCAAGGTCTTGTAATCACAGACTGTGTCGCAAGACATATCGCAAGTTCATCCACAAACAACCGATGAAATCACGTACATCTTAATTGTATGATAAGCCGAATCAATACAATTGAGATAAATAATGGTTCACTTACTATGTTTATGTGGGGGTCATCTTTATAGGCTTGAATGTTCTTGCATGGGATGTTGCCGTCACCACTTATCTTCGTTCTGAAAATAAGTGTCAAACCTTCTAGTGCATGGACAGACAACGACGGAATAGTATATTGTGTAAGATGGAAGAGGCACTTTGGGATGTAGGTACATTTTGAACATTTTAGACATGTTGAACATTTCAACTTCTTTCCTTTGCAACGACCTTTCAGGGATGCTTTTTCCTTTGCATAATAAAAGTAGCGCTGAAACGTGCTTACAATAGTATAGCTGTTATCCATGAAAATCCATGACTTCATGGTCTTCCAATTTCATAATGAGTATCAAACGTTAAGACTACAGTACTTTTTATCAGAACATATCCAGCGGGTTATTCTGTGTGTGCTCGACGCGCCAAAGACCAGAGTTCGATTGCACGTGTGGGTACCTTTTTCGTGCCATGTAGAATATTGACGTGACGAAAACATTACTCATCTCATCTAAATAGGTTCATCTCAACATATGCTTCTGAAAATACAAATTTCAGAATGCATAATCCCCTGTTATTTAAGTTTTCATAATGCCCTATTCAACATCAGAGGGAACATGTTGGCCTAAGGACCCATGCTGTACGATACCTTTCTCCCGCATGAAACTGACACGCCACAATATAACTGGAATAAACACGTCAACTGCAAACAATTTCGCGTTAAATATATGAATGAGATGTTTTGAAAATATCTTCGCTGCAATAAGTAAATGTAAGCTGAATTAGGCATGTGTCCTAATATTTGTAGGCAAATTTCATTTAGTTGCAACACCGTGTTATGAGAAGAGGGTCGTCAAGGGTGAAGTGGATTAAATTTGAGTTTTTGACAAAAATTCATTTTGTCATCCTTAGTATATA